TTATTATTGTAGTTATTATTTTTATTATTATTTCTATAATTCCTATTCCTGCTATTACTGTGGTTACGATTTCTATTGTTATCATTATAATTTTGAAAGTTTTGACCTCTATTATTGTTTGTACTCCTGCAATCTCTGGCGAAATGGCCATACTTCTCACAGTTAAAGCATTTAATATTTGATTAGTTATTATTCATATGTTGATTACTTCTATAATCTCTAGACAAGTGTCCAAATTTTCCACAATTAAAACATTCACGTGGCCGTTGCTGTGGCTGTTGCTGCTGCTGTTATTGTTGTTGCTGTTATTGCCTAATGTTTATTATAATCGTTTGTAACCCTTCATTTAATTTGCAATTAATAGTACCCTCAATATCTGGTTGCTGTGTAATATATGTAGGTTACATTGCTATACTTGTGCGAGCTAGTACCATTCCTTCTTGTAGTAACTGCATGTAATTAGACATCAATGAATAGGCAGATAATTACATTCCAATGGAATATGCAGATTCTACTGCTCTGGCCTTTTCGATTACTTGATCTACTGTTATTAGCATTGCTGTTTGCACCGGTACCATAAATTCTGGTCGCAGCCCTTCAATAAATTCAGCAACACTATCCATCTCGGCTCGCCTATACCGTAGGTCAACTCGCTTCTATAGTTCTCCTATTGCTGCCGCATATTCCTCAATCATTTCACCTGGTTTCTGTGTCTTATGCCTAAGCTGATGCTTCCATTAATTTTGTCAAAATGCATTGCAGAAATGTTATTCAAATAATGGTACAAAGGAAGTGCCAGGATTGATCTTACTATTCCAGTTGGTAACATATTGTCGTTGAAACCATGTCAGTGCTGTTCCTGTTAAATAACTGGAGACTATTTCAACTATTTGAGTGGTATTGATACAGTTTGCTTTACAAGCTCGTTCGAAAGCCTCAAGCTACTCCACTGGATTCTGATTTCCTCCTCTAAATGTTGGCAAATCTACCAATCGTTGTTCTCTCGTTTGTTGTCCTTAAAGCTATCCTGCTAGCCCTTGTATGACTTGAAGGTAAACATTGTCATTATTTTCTCCTACTGGTATTATAGCTAGTTGAGGTGTAAGTATTGGCTGAGAGGTGTTTATATTATTTGACGGTTGACTGCTAGGTACTGACTAAGAAGTTATTGTGTTAGTTGATCGAAAACTACCCTTCAGGAGTTTGATGGTGATCACATATTATATAGTTGGGCTACTGTTGTTGACTGTGGGGTTCCTTTGGTAGTTACATTTCGATGTCTCATTGTATTATTTCCTCTGTTACTTGAGTTACTTTCAAGTCAACGGTTATTTACTGGTTACCAATTTGCGGTTGTGAAACTGGAAGTTGTAGATGGATTACTATTTTGGAGAGGATCAAGTGGTACCAAGGGGTCAAATATACGACTATATTGAGTTGCTTGGAAAAAATTGTAGGGATTTCCCAATGATAATCCACTATTTGTATTTCCTACTGATGGAGTTGTCACCCTTAAATTTGATGGCCTTGACGATTGATTACTGGATAATGTTGAGGCTACTAATTGTTGAATATTTTCTACCCTAATAGGGAATGGAGACCTCCTATCATTACTGGTATTAAATGTAACTTTTCGAGGTATTCTACTTGGGATTCCTCCTCTCTCTAGTTCATTTGCATTGTCAAAAAAAGACATTCCCTGTAATGTTTCGTCATCATCATTGACATATTCAAATAGGATATTCTATTCATAATCAGGGGTATATGTGTCATTTTCTTCTTCGTCATATTGCCTCCTATCTCTCAAGTATGGTTGTCGTGGTTATACATAAGATAGTATGTTAGATGGTGGTTAAGGTATAGATGTAGTAGTTCCTGATAGTGGTCTATACATTACCATTAGAAGTGTCATCCCTGGGGAGCTTTCATTACTTCCCTAAAAAGGTGCTATAATAGTATTATTTTGATCTCTTTCCATATTTTCTGAGGTATCATTACAATTGCTGTTTATAATTGAGTCAGTACTGCTAATACTTTCAATTTCCCACAATTGAAACTGTTTTGTTTTTACCCAAATTTGATATAATTTATCAGCGATGCTATCAAAGGATTCTTTTAGTATATTGTCCCTATATCTAATTGTAGTAACAATTTTTCTCAACAAATATTTCAATAAGTGATCTCTTTTTAAAAAGCTAGCTTTACTCTCTTAGGTCCTTATAAAATACGCTACAGTAAAGGTAGTGTATGATACAGTATTATATTTAGGTACAATTCACAGAAACCAAAAATTATCGAAGGATGGTAGTTTTTCTAATTGAGTTCATAGTCTAGGTAACACTGTAGGTAGGATTGATCTAAATGGGTAATAAATGAGATTTTATGATCCTCAAGTTCTTTATGAACAGCTATGTGTTGTCGAACGGTTAGTAGATATTGTTTCTTAGTGATATAGTCAGTGCTTGATTCCTTCAGATTTATTGAGATTCGTTGTTAAAGTAGTCATCACTAAATACTAATTCATTCTATGTGACCTTAATCTTATGAAATTCAATAAAATGTTTTAGATTGTTGATGTTGCTTTGTAAACGTTTAAGATGATCAATTGAAATAGCTTCTTCATTCTCTAATGATTTATACTGAAATTGAATCTTAACAACTCGCAGCTGAAGTTAGAGGAGAATAGGTCCTATAGCTACTGTTAATTGTCTAAGTATCCTTTGCATATGTTTAATTTGTCAGATTGGTTTTTATTTCACTCAACCTGCACTAAATTGTTATCTTACGATACTAATGACTGAAAATTAGTATTAACGCAAGATTAACAAAAGGATTTAGCTTTTATTTGATACTTTAGGGAGAGCTCTGAAGGGTTTATAAATAATTATTACTTCAAATGATAATGTATATTTAGAATAAACTTTGAGGA